CCTGCGTCCGTGCGTGCGTGCGCAGTGTACAAAAAACGTGAAGCTGCTCTTAGAGTACACTCGAACTATATAAAACAAAACACGACATATTAGCTGCAGTGCTGCACCAGTACGTTGACTTCTTAAGGTTAGGAAAACATACAAATTTGCGGTTTAAACCCACTTCACAGAAAGGTGTAAATGGAAAATGTTTAGCTGAATTGTATATACAAGACGCGGTAAAAGGCTGGTACACTTATCACAATTGGTCACAGGTATTACTAAAGATACGAAAAAAAAATTAAATTATTAATCTGATATAACTAACCTAGGATAGTGTCACAAATAGTAGCGACTTTATGCCACTAAATCTTTACAAAGTATAGACATGACCAGATGTAGCTAGATGGTACACATGCAGTCATCTTCTTACAGGATGAGGAGGAAACAAAACCGAATGAAACCAATTATATTTAGTAATTGTAAAGAAGTTTTACAAACAGTTATAATGTTTTGCTTCGCTGCCATTTTTGGAGAAGAAGAGACGGAGTTTTGTAAAAGAGGTTGGTCTAAACTCGTTCAAGACAGAAAACAATGGGAGAGAGAATGTCTGAATGACGATGTTATTAAAAGGTCACTTTGTTGTAACGAGACAGCTGCCTATCTTGAAAAAAGATATAAAGAATACATTAGATTGTGTCCTATTTGGGAAGGTAAGGTTTCCATATCACTGTTTGTGTTTATAAAGCGGCGATAACCAAATTATTTTGGAACATATATTGAATATATAGTGTGGCCGGTTAATTTATTCCCACTGTCAGCTGAACTCTCTTTCTCTCTATATAAAATCATACATTACTGATATAACATATGAATACTTGCGTAATAAAAATAATGCATAATATCGATCATTGTACTGAATGTGATTGTACTAAATATGGCTACGTTAATTTTATGGAAAATGATTCGAGATATGACTTGCAAATTTCTTATATACAAGGCGAACAAATTAAATACGCGATATTTAATAGTAACCTGACTGACATGGACAACGTTTTTGCCGTTTAGGATAAACGGCTTCTATATTATACTCGTCAGTTGATTGGCTATATATAGCTATATATATTGTAGATAAGTTCCAATATAACCAATTAGCAAAACGTCATTCGCGGCCATTGGCGCGTAAGCCAGTTTCTCTAGTGTGCGGCGACCTTTCCGACGACTTTTGGCACGAATGACCAAAGTCGCCAGAAAAGTCAGCCGCACACGAGAGCAAATGGCTTACGCCAATGGCTACGAATGACTTTTTGCTAAGCACATAGCTCTGGTGTGCGCCAGCCTTAAATAGACAAAACACTTCTGGACGTTTTGACCTGAGGGCCTATATATATTATAAATAAAGAAACTTCGTATCAAACAAAATTAAAATTATATTTCTCTTTCAGCATATCTATGGCGACAAAACCTATACATACAGAACTTATGACTGCCAAATCGCCGATGATTAATCCTGTTGATTTATGTATAGTACGGCTTGATACGGCTTGATACGTCGTTATGCAGAAGGTCTATATTCCTCTGCATGGAGTGCCGGTGAGTTACCATTCTTTTTGCAATGCTCACACGCGCAAACAAACAATATATATATATATATATATATATATGTATACTTTGTCATCCCGCATTTCTTTTTATCCGTTTCGAGGCAAATAAATATGCTTTTATTACGATAGAGAATAGAATTGTTACCAGTTGTGTGCTAATTTGCATTTTGTCCATAAAAAGTGCAGCTCCAACTTTACTATAACAGATACAGAGCAAAAGAAGCCTTGGATTTATCCCCCTTTTGAGTAATAATACGCGCGGACCACTGCATGAAAAGCGCCGTATTCCAAGGTATTCACATATGTGAATACGGGTGTGAATAAAACACATATTGCAAGCGTATTCCGACATGGAATATTAGTGTGAATACGGCATCGTATTCTTCAGTATTCTAAGTGTGAATACGCCGGGAATATGCCGCGTATTCTGACCAATATTCACACTTGGAATATCTCACTTCTCACTTAATCCGTGTTTCCACAAAATAAATTCATCAGCTGACATTTTTAAACTTTATTTTGAATGCTGAAAAATTGAAGTGGAATTTTATAAATAATTTGGCGCAAAAACCAAAAAGCGCGCTTTCGAGTTTAATAAACATTGAACGAGGAGATCGTGCGTTTGTGGCTGTAAGAAATCTTTTTGGCGCTTATAAATAAGGGAAGAGAGTGAAGGATGCCAAGGGCTTGGTAAAGTCTGGAAACTCTGGTCGCAGTTAAAGAGCATACCGGCGAGTATTTGTATGCTACGATTCCCACGAAGTCTGATGAAGAAAATGCGCGAAATAGAAATGAGATTGCATGGCGCGATTTCCACAGCACCTTATGTTCGCTAATACGTGTAAAATGATAACGAATATTAACCGTATTTCAAGGATTTTTTATAGTTCAAAACCGAAAACGCATATACTGTTTGTGCGTAAGGGACCTCTTCGGTGAGTGACTAAATATCGTGCAGTTGAATTCAATAGCCGGCCTATAGACTATACCCTATGACCATGTTGGGAGTAATCTCAACATTTTATTAACAAATTACCTGGTGATAAGAGGTTAATGGGTTATGCGTTCGCAGCCTGTGCGAATGTTTAGGCATTTATTGTCCCTCAAGTCTGTCCATTAAGGAAAATATCAATATGAACAAACATGCATAATCTTTAGGTTGCCATGTTAATTTGCATAGCAGTCATACACATTGCAATGGTAGGTTTATCCACAATTAATGTGTTTTATCAAGGTTGATCAAATGCAATACTAAGATTTCAGTCAATTATTTAAATTTTATACAGTCCTTAACAGATCATGTACATGTGATGGGTTACAACATTTCACATTTTATAAAATATTATTGGAACATCACAAATTGTTCAAAAATATGTAGCAAAAACACAGCCAATCATGAACTTCTACTAAGCTGTTATGATTTTCAATCTTTCATCGGCTGATTGTTAATTTATAAGCAATGTTGTTTTAGTATATATGAAACATTGCTCCTGGAGTATGTCAGAAATTATACTTAATAGTAAATTGTTGAGCAAAGCAAGTGATGTTTTTTCACTTGGTAAGATATTAAAAACTATAGGTGAGCAGATAATGAATCAGGAACTTCTTTCATTGGGTGAAAAATCCTCTTCATCTTTAGCAAAGTTAAGGCCAACTCTTTTGGGAATTTTCTCAATCTTGCAACCCCTGATGGCTAAAAACAATTAAAACCACCTTAAAGCAATTATTGAACAAAATACATAGCAAACTTTCTTAAGCTATAATAGATTATTATCCGAAAGGTTAATGATAATGGTAAAAGCTGATGTTGCATGCATGGCCATTAACCGCCATTTGTTTTTATTGTTGTGCATTGAATTTATGCAGTGTAATGAAATTATAATATTCCTAGGAGAATGTATATGTACAATGTACAATGTACACACCATTCATATAATTTGGAAGCTAATCAATTAGGGTAAAAATGGAAACAAATTCTTCCATGAACTTAAAGCTGTATATACACATAGCTACTCCTAGTATGCAAACATCGAGAAGCTGTAGTAAACTCATCTACACTTTAATGGTATATTCTTTAAGTATTGTGATTAATTTATGTACGGAAAAGTAATTGCAAACAAATCAGTAAACAGTCTCAGTTATAAATTATGATGAGGGCAATGTTAAAAGGCTTCACTTAAAAACACAGTCTAGCATGAACTTCTAAGCTGTTAAGATTTCTGTCTTTGGGCAGCTGGTTAAGATTCCTATCTTTTGGCAACCAGTTCAATAGCTATTCTGTGGTAAACATTAGTGTAAATATAATTCATATATGCTAAAAGGAAAAATATAGGCCATTATTTTGTTAAAAAATATGTTATATATAACTAAAAAACACAGTCTGGCTTTGATTTCTAAGCTGTTAAGATTTCTGTCTTTGGGCAGCTGATTGTTAAGATTTCAATCTTTTGGCAATCAATCATTAGCTATTCTGTGACAATTATATAACAATATATATCTATAATATATAATTTTGCCTAAAATATAAAAAACCCTCATGAAATGCACCAATGCACCTCATTTCAATGCATCTTGAAACGTCTATCTAAGGGTTATGTTATGTTAAAGTTATGATTACAGCAGCTTTCTGAATATTTGTGGTAGGTAAGAAAGTAATGTCCCTTTTCAGTATTGGCAAACTTTTAAATTTTGTTTGTATTGAGTATGGCTTTGAAATGGCAAACATTTGTACCTACTATAATTAGTGTGTGATGGAGGTAGGATTGATGAAACCATCATACAATTTATTTATTTACAAGCAGGTACAGTTAGCTGTGTACAAATTAGCTACAATAAACACAATCGTAATCTATTTATATTAATAAAAACAAAAAAGTGATGAGCCCAGCCGTAAAAGCGTTGGCCTCGCACTATTGTTGTTGTGTTGTGTTGTTTCAGGACTATAGTATGACATAACTCTTGTTATTATTAAATAACTTACCTGATTTTAGCGCCGCCACAAGAATTATTTTGGGGCATCGCGAACATCTTTAACAATTCAAAGTTGAACAGCTTGAACTTCTGTTGAAACCACGCATTTATATATAAGCGCCCTGGTTGAAACCAATTGACATTTGTGCCATGTTATCGTTTTGTAAACAAAGGGAACTGGACAACTTTTGCGAGGAATCATTTAAAGACATTTATTTGTTATTGTTATACGACCTCCGAATTTCGCCATTTATTCGCAATTTCGCCGCAATTCCTTGGCGCAAAAATTGTCACTAACATGTCGAAGAGGAAATTTCCCAAAGGAAATTTCCACTGAGCTATATAATAATTCCTGGAGGACCGGCTCGAGATTTTTCAGCACTGAGCTATATAATAATTCCTGGAGGACCGGCTCGCCACCAAAAAGCGTAGCCAAAAAGATGGCGGATTTTGAGTTTTGCTGACGCCACTTGGTTCCTTTTGCTCATGGTAGTTACCACTGACATACCGCGATACAAAGTAAAAAACTGGGTCCATCACCCTCCCGATTTTTATGAAAATATTTGAATACTTTTATTCATCTTTTTCGCTTTGCGTTTTGTAACGACAAGAGAAAATGCCTTTTTGCTGCGCTTTTGGGTGCCACAATTCTTTTACGAAGGAAAAAAACCTTTCTTCTCACCGGTAAGAATCCGCAATTTTTTTTAAAGTTTAATTTGTGGTTTAGAAAAAGGTTTAAAATACATATACTTTTTCCATAAATTTTTACAACCATAGATGGCGTCATACATTTTTAATTTTTTTACATTCAGTATTTAATTCAAACTTTCATTGTTAATTTCATTGTTGTTTATTAGTTTATATATTGTAGTAATTTCAACATAATTCAACATAAAAAAAAATTCTAACAAAACTGAAACAAGTAGTGCTTAAAAACCCATTTTGAAACTTTTAGGTTTCCTGATCCGGAAAAAAATCCTGAGTTGTACGACGTTTGGGTGGAGAATATGAACAGGGATGCAGCAGTAAAGTTTATTCCGACGAAGGGAAGTCTTCTCTGCTCGGAGCATTTCAGAGCGGACATGTTACAAATGACGGGACAGAAAATGATGCTGCTGCCAGATGCCGTGCCTACGATATTTCAGAAATCTCAGGTTTAATTGACAATTAAAATTTAGTCCGATACATACTGTATTCTAACTGCTCACTCTGAGATCTTAATCTTCTCATAACGTTTCCATGGTGGAATTTCCAGTCGGATAGGGTCTTGATTTTCAGTGTTTTACCTAAAATCTTTCCACAAATTGAGAAAGAACTTTCTCATTGACCAGCATTAACAAAATTTATATGTTGTAAGTGTGAGCTTTTTGAATACAGGCGATAATGTTGTAAGTACACAAGATCTGCAGTAGGTCCTATTATAGACTACAGTATATATGTTTGCTGCAATTGATTGGACTATAAAGAGCCAAGGCCAAATTCGGGTATAGCTTCAAAATTTGGACTGAAAATTAGTACCCTTTTATAAACATACTTTGAAGTTTAGAGTCATATATGTATCATCTCCTTTTTAATTTCTTTTAAATAACATACAACTGACCTAGCCAACCATAAGCCTACCCCAAGCCAGGCAAGTGACTTAGCCCCCTTACAAAAATGGATCCATAGATCACAGTGACATTTTAACTGCAATTTTGTAGATGGTCAACAATTGTTCTTTAAAAACTATATAGTTGATGCATATTTTCACAACATTTACTGCGAAGACTAATTACATATATTATGCAAATTTTTACCTTCCTTACACACACTGCATTTTCTTTTAATGTGATATGTCTCAGCAGATGGAAACTATTTTTGGTACTCACTTGTACTTTTGATAATTTTTAATGCATTAATAATATTAACTAAACCTTCAAAACTTATTTTAAGGTAAAACAAAATGAGGAACTTGTAGAGGTTGCATTGAAGGATATATTAGGCAACAATAATTTGGAACAAGGATGTAGTACTGGTACATCACTGCAGAGAGTCACAAGTGGGTTGGTTGACAAAGATTGTGTAAGTATGAGAGAGGAAGCTGAACCTATGGTAAGTAATTGCAGTGGTAGTGTAACTGATAATGTAGTTATACAGGGTATCACTGAAGATGAAAACTCTAGTAGTTTAAGTGTACAGGGTGTAAATGAACAGGTTACTATTGGGAGAAAGAGAAAGCTCTCAGATAAAGATGTGGTTATTAATGGGGTAAGTACTCCAAAAAGAATACACATGAGTCATGTGAATCATGATCACACTTACCATATCAGTAAATCCCCTCGTAGAATGAAGAAACATGTAGATAATCTTGTAAACAACTTGACTAATCTGCAGAACAAGTTTAAGGCGTCAAAGCAAAAGACAAGAAGGCTAAAGAGAAAGGTTAGCACTTTGGAGTCAGTGGTAAGTGAACTGAGACAGAGTAATCTCATAAATAGTGATTGCGCTGCGATTTTGGAAACAACCTTTTCCGGAGTTCCAAAGGAACTGATGAAGAGGTTAATGTCGCAAAAGAAAAACAAAAATCCTGGGGCGTATCCACCCGAGCTAAGGTCATTTGCTCTAACCTTAAAGTTTTACTCCACGAAGGCGTATAATTATGTTCGGAAAGTTTTCAGCTCGGGCTGCCACACGTATCTGTGATCCGATCGTGGTATACCTCGATGGATGGTGAACCCGGTTTCACGAAAGATGCCTTGACAGCTTTGAAAGCTAAGGTCCTCGCTGCAAAAAGAAAAGGTGAAGAAGTTGTTTGCGCTCTCACCTTGGATGAGATGTCCATACGAAAACATGTTGAGTGGGATGGAAAGAAAATGCGTGGTTATGTCGACCTCGGGACTGGCATTGAAGACGACTTTCTTCCTGAGGCAACCGATGCTCTTGTGTACATGGCTGTTTGTGCAAACTCAAGTTGGAAATACCTTGTGGATATTTTCTAGTGAACGGACTCACTGGTGAAGAGAAGGCCAATTTAACAAAAGAATGCATTCGAAAATTGCACGAAGTCGGGGTGAAGGTGATTTCTTTCACATGCGACGGTCCATCGACCCACCAGGCGATGTTAAAGGAGCTCGGCGCAATTCTTACACCTGATAGCCTGCAGGCGTATTTTCCGCATCCGTGTGACCCAGAGGCCAAGATCTACGTGTTTCTGGACGCCTGCCACATGATAAAGTTGGTGCGAAACACAATGTCGGACTGGCAAGTTCTGAAGGATGAAGAAGGGAACACAATTCAGTGGCAATTCATCGAGAAATTGCATCAGTTGCAAGAATCAGAGGGTTTACATCTTGCTAATAAGCTTCGGGCAGGGCATATCAAATGGAAACCACAAAAGATGAAGGTAAACCTAGCAGCACAGGCGCTCAGTTCGAGTGTCGCTGATGCTTTAGAATACAACGAAGGTAAGCTGAAATTGCCCCAATTTCAGGGATGTGGTCCAACTGTGAAGTTTATTCGTGTTTTTGATCGCTTATTTGATGTTCTGAATTCCAGAAACCGGCTGGCGAAGAATTACAAAGCGCCAATTAGGAGATCGAATTATCAGTACGCGAAGAAGTTTCTGGACCAGGCGAGTGAGTACATCCGAAATCTAAAGGGTCCTGATGGAAGATCGATCCTCAAGTCGAAAAGGAAAACCGGATTTCTTAGTTTTCTTATTTGCATCAAAGCAGTTTTGGGATTGGCCGACGATCTGATTATGCCGGAGAAACCTGTCCTGAAGTACCTTCTGACGTACAAGACGAGTCAAGATCACTTGGAGTTGTTCTTCGGTGCTGTGCGAGCATGCGGAGGATGGAATAACAATCCAACCACACGGCAGTTTGTAGCCGCGTACAAGCAACTGCTGATGAGGCACAATATTAAAGGAGGTCATGGAAACTGCGTTGCTCAAGATGACACTCAGATATTAGACTGCGTCAAAGACCAGTGTGAAATTGAAGAGACGCCGACTGGGATCTCAGACGTAGCGATTGCAAGGCGATACGACTTGGAGTTGAGAGAGCCAGCTGCCGTCGATCATGACTACTGTGATGTGTCTAATGCCATTGAACTGTCTGAGTACAAGGAGGCTGCAATATCGTATATTGCTGGATACGTCTCGAAGATGGTGACGAAAAAGATCCATTGCACCCAATGTACAACGGTGCTGACGACGACGAAAGAGAACATACCGGACTTGTTCGTAACATGGAAGACGAATGGGGGTTTGCAACTACCGTCACACGGACTGATTAAGATTTGTGAAGAAACGGAGAAGTGCATTAGGAGAATGCTGAATGCTAACCAAGGTGGTTTACCTCGTAGCTATCAGGAGCAATTGCGAAGACGGTGCTGGAAACATGTGTGAAGAGCGGGGTCTTTAGCACGTTAAACCAGCACATGTTTGACTCAAGTGCAGTGGACAACCACCTGTTTACTCTGATAAAGTGCTGTTCTCAGAGTTATGTCACGATTCGAATGCATCATTTATGTAAGTTGAGGAATGCAAGTATGCATGAGAAGGTGATACGAAAGCAGTTTTCAAAGCTCGTGTTGTTCAAACACCAGTAGAGTTTACACGTGTCCTGGGCACTCTTGTGGTGCTTTCGAGGTTTGCCTGTATGCCTTGGAATGCAATGTCAATGTAACTGACCATGTTCATTAAAAATTGCAAACAATTGAAATTTCATATCTTTCTCGTTTATATCAATTAAAGTTTCTACATTTAAATGAATTAAATCAAAAATTTGTTGAGAAAAGATAATTTATTCACATATATCTGCAACCTCATTTTTTCAGTTTAGTTGCATTTTTCGAAGGTTGGGCGTATCCTGGCACAATTATTTGTGTTGCGAGGAAGTGTGCATTGTTGAGAATGCATGGTCAACGGAACCTGCACATTTTAGATGTGTCTAGGGGTTGACAAAGTAATGTGTGTATGCATGGTGTTTGACAGCAGCCAATTATCATATGTGAGATGAAGAAATTATAAAATGCATTGATATGTCACTAGAGGTAAATATTATGTTTTTGCTCTCTTTTTTTCCCAAAGTGTTTGCATTCATGCAGTTCTGTCATTAACTTTGTGTTTTTTGTTCCTCTGTTTTGTTAGGAGCAACTGAAAAGATTTGACTACAGTCAATCATAAAATAAATTATTTATTATTTTGTAAAATTTAGAATATATAACTTATATTTTATATTTACATATGACCTAATGCACGACTTTATTAAATAAGACAACACAAACACAATGTTAATGTTTTAGCTAGCCATGCAGGTATTCCATCTTTCTTGACACATTCATGAGTTCTCCAAAACGTCTCAAGATATTGCATTGCAAATAAAACATATGGTACTCTTTGCTCAATATTGTCACCAAGATTGTTGAAGAATCAGAATTGCAGCAACATATTGTCACAAATTGGGCAAACCATCCAGGTTGTGGAATGAGAATAATGATCACATAAACTTTACGCTGGACATGGACAAGGACAAAGAAATCTTTTGGATACAGAGTGTCACTGAAATACATGCAGACAAAATGGTCAATGAATTTGTTGTTGTAGCACTATTTGATGATATAGACAACCAGTGATACCACTCACTATGAAAACTCTCATTATGGACAAAATCAGGGAGTCAAAAGATAATGAAGGAAACCAGTCCAGCCAACAATATATATTCTTGCCGTCAAAGTGTCATCATGTCAATTATGAACACCTGTGTATATAATCAAAGATTTGTGCTTTCCATCACTTCTATGGTTAAATAAAGTATCAAAGAAAGAATGGACTTCAGGGTGTCACAGAGAGAATGGTTTACGTGCTTTGGTAGTTAAACATTGACAGCGTAAACATTGACATTTGTAAATATGGTAAAATATAGGCATATAACTATATTTTATTTACCACTGTAATGCTGACATTAGTTTTTAGCTGACGTTATGAATGTAAATTGTGAATTATAATAATTAGGTTGCATTTTGAAGATACAGTTATTAAATTTATGTGGTTTTTAATGAATTAGCACATTGATCTTACTTTCAAGGTATACAAGAATAAACACTAGCAATGTGTTGTGTAGTACATACCAGTGGCAACTATTCGCACGCAGTTTTACGACCATAGATTAGTACTAGAGTCAGTGACAAACAGAATTATTACAGTCCATTTTTTTTTGTTCTATAATTTGTTAAAAACCGAGTAAACTTCATGTTATTATCATGAATATTTTCTGTATTTAGACCAATCAAATTGTCGTATTTATTTCGCGCTCTTTTCAATTTTTATTTACCTTTTAGACAAAAGCTTTTAATTGAAGTACGAAGGTATATGGCCCTTTAAATTATATAGTTTTGGTCGTCATAATGAATTCTCTTATTACATTTTGACAGAGAAAAATTTATAGAAATGGAAGAAAACGGAATGCCGCATACGGAAGGACGGGAAGGCCAAGAGGAAAATGGTAGGTATATGTTTAGCGATATACGGCATTTGACAAACTTGTAAAATACAGTAATGTACACAATTTTGCAAAATGAAACGAGTTCAAGGCATCTTTAATTAAAATAACCTGAACCCAGTACTAGTTGTTTTACTGCACGTATTTGAACGTAAATTATTGCACAATGTTTTGCAGTGGAAAGGTCTGAGAGGACAAACCAAGTTGAGGACGAAGGAAATGGTATCAAATTTTTAAAACAAGTTCCCATAATTTATGTATTTTATCTGTTTTTCATTGCAAATATCAATAATATTAGCTAGTGCATGTCTACACTTTGCTTCCAAGCTTTTGCTAGACATGTATGAATTGGCTTTGAAACATGCAAAGACATGCTACCTTTCATATGGGTAATAGTCAGGTAATAGTTGAAAGCTTGGAAACAGCTTTAAATGATACAGCTTTACAGTATATGATACAGCTTTATATGATAAGAACATGTTTCCTTTCACATAGAGAACAATACAAGATCTGGAAGACCCTTCCATGGTAGTAAAGGTTTTTTATTCTTATGCCAATTAAACCCTACAAATGATCAGAAGTAAAACTATATTTACCCATGAATATTTTATTTAGGAGTATGCTATAATTGCAAGGAGAGGGGTCACAGAGCAGCAAACTGCAAAAATTGTATGTGCCTTAAACTGCCTTCATAGTTGTTTGTTATCAGAGAGCATATGAGCATTGGGGGTTAGGGGGTAGCCTCAACTAATATTATATGTGTTATTAATAGTCAAAAATATCCTAATATTTTATTCATTTCAGCACACAACAGAAATGGAAAACGTAGGTTAACCCATTATAACGGCATGGTTATAAACCAGTTCATACCAAGTATTGTGTTAATAATATAGAGACTATTAATAAAAGAATATGTCTATTGCATTGATTTATTAATAAATCCTATTCTGTATCTAACAGAATAAAACATCAATACAGGTAAAATATTGTTTATCTATTTTGTAGGGAAAAGATGTTTTAAATGTGGGAAACCTGGTCATATGGCCAGAGCCTGCACTTCTCAATCCCCCTGGGCTGACCAGTTACGTGCTGCGCAATTGTAATAATTGCACTTTTACTGTTTCGAAATAAGTACATTGTTATATTTCTAAGTGTGCAGGTTAAAATGTGCTCAGGTAAAATATTAAATTCATAATCTAAGATTATGAATTTAATATTTTATATATCTGAGGATGATTCTTATATTAAAAAGTGTAATAATTTAAATTATCCAAATTTGAGACCCCTGTCACATTTTTAACCTGCACACTTGTCCTGGTTAAATTTTATTGATTCATGTCACTTTTGCTGAACTCTTGTTAATGTTGCATTATGCAATTTAAATAACCAAACCAAAACTAAAAATGTTTCAAAATATTTAGACTCAAGTTACCAATGTATGTATTTATTTGAATATTCTAAACCATGCATTGATTAGAAATTTTGATTGAGTATAATGCAACATAGGTTAATTGTTATAAATGTTTAAAAAATAATAATTTCAATTCTAATTCTAATTAATTCACAATGATGTAAATATATACTTAATTTATTAAAATGTCAAAATTAGTATTTTGTGTCTTGTGATACCTTGAAATCCTTCCAAACAATTGGCAACACAGTCCATAGGGAATTGGTTCTGAAGAGCACATGTTTCAAAGTTAATGCAATTACCACATATTTACAATCGATTACTGTACATAAGTGGCCTAGCTATGGCAAATGTAATTTGTAGTGTGTACCAATATGTTAATTGCAAATACTAACTATATAATCCAGTTGGGCAAGTTCTTGTGCAAAGTAGGAATGATTTGCATGTTATTGAATTTTTAATACAATTCTACTCTGCACAGGTTTAATGCTTGAGAGTTGAGACAATCAAACTTGACTTAGCATCCAATTAAAAAGGCAATGTTATAAATTGTATTTTAATATGATATGTGAAGGTATGTGCATGTATGTATATGTACTATATGTCACAGTCCTGTATAAGCCTGAAAACAAGGCCAACAATGTGGATGATACATTGATGTTTTTTTTGCTTCGAAATGATTGGCTTGATTTACACAAACGTGGGTGGGTAAACTGTAAAGAGATGTGATGTTTTTTACAATTGGTAATATACCTGTTAAAAAGATTCCAGTAACAGTTCCTCACTTCTGTCTTCTGAAGTTTCAGATCTTTTTTGTCTGTAGAAACAAAAACAAATAGTTAAAACAATGCACGATTGCACATAAAAAACTAGTGTGTTTGAATGTGTTTCATTTATTATTATACTTTCATTTGTTTTTACCCGCGTGCAAATGCGAGTGCAAATACAGAAATACTTGCTTGTTCGCCGATCAAAAGCAATTTTATTAATACTACTGATCATTGACGTTATTTCGACCCCTAAAATTCTTAAAAAACTAAGGATGTGCACAAAGCAATAGTCCATTAAGATTTTTAACAAAAATTACAAAAAAAATTATACCTGTTTGACTGTTTCTCTTCAAAACTTCACTTGTAGACTTTCCTCGGGCTTGTAGTTCATGTTTGTTTTCCATGTGACCGCGGCGCGAACGTTTTAAAAAATATTTTGATGTTTAACCATAGGTTCAAACATCAGTTAGTTGTGGGCTGATTCAAAAATATGTTTTGTTTTTCCTTCGCCCTTTTTTATTATCTTATAGCTCTACATACAAACTAAAAAGCATCATCTGTGCCGTCTTCTTAAAATACTTGTGGCTCAGGCGTACAGAAGATTCCTATTTCCTAAACGTTTTGTTTTGAAAAACCAGGGGGGAGAATACTGCTGTAGCGGGCTCATAATTGAGCCTGGTCAGTGGTAAATACCATGGCCAAAAGGAACCAAGTGGCGTCAGCAGAGCTTCTGCGGTTGCGCAGAAGGGCGAAGTCCGCCATGTTTTTTGCTTCAAAAAGATGGCGGCGAAGTTACCGAAAAATGACGAGCCGGTCCTCCAGGAATTATTATATAGCTCAGTGTTTTTCAGTAACTTCGCCGCCATCTTTTTGTCCGCAAAAACATGGCGGACTTCGCCCTTCTGCGCAACCGCAGAAGCTCTGCTGACGCCACATGGTTCCTTTTGGCCATGGTAGTTACCACTGACCAGGCTCAATTCTGAGCCCGCTACAGCAGTATTCTCCCCCCTGAATTTTGAAATTTTATAATAATTAATCGATATATCGAAAACGGAAAACGATCTTTTGTCTCTTGCACATTTGCACACCACACATCTCGTCAATATTTGAGAAATATGTTATCTACTATGAGCTTTAACACGTTATTTGTCTGCTGTTGAATGTCAATAACGAAAGCGAAAGAAAGGCGTGAGAAAAGTGACAAAAAGCGGTATATTTTTTTCATTCCGATTGCAGATGAACTGACTCAAGCTCAGGTATTAATTTTTTTTTCAAAATATCGTTTCTTGGGATTTGAATTGCATCCCTGATCCCTCAGAATTAACTCTACCTTTCCTGTCAATAAGCTATCCAGGTCAAAAATACGAGCTACTAAATTATTTGGGCTTAATAATATGGGCTTTGTTTCAGCGATATAGTTGCAGTTTTTGCATTTATATACAGATGTAAATTAATAGAGAAACATATATCTGTAATAAAGCAGTTGGCAGGCAAAATGTTTACAAGAATCGACATTTTTTAAAAACGAATTTAAAATTGTATATGGAAAGTAATTTTAATACTTTTTTTTAGATCCAATCTCTGATGACTACAATTTTAATAATGCTTCAATTACTCGGTGCATTTTCATGTTTTAAAGGTGAGGAATCACAAAATACTTATATGCAAAAGAGTTATTTCAATATTTATTTCAACAATGTGTAAATTAAAACATGAGCATATAGCAATATATATTGGCATTATTAATAATTTATTAGCATTTTATAAACAATTTTGTATAAATAATTTTTGAATTCATGTTATTTAATTAATCAACTAATATTGCACAATTAACATCACAAAAGCTTAATGCATAGTTTGTGGACATGAATTATTTTCAACTCATTGATTCTTTTAAACAGTAAATGAAAATTGAAATGCTCAAAGAAATTATACACTATGGTATTCTGGCCTCCTTATTATGAATAATGCTGACATTTGTAACAAGAATTAATGCATATATTTTAATCAAATGCATTAAATTTTTACACAAAAAGCTCTTTTTGAAGAGTAGGCAATGCAAACAAAACATGTTATAGCCTATAGGTATGAAAGGATTCAATTTCAAATGCTTATTGTCATTATTGATATTCCATTGCATTGTGCAAAATTAACAAATTAATTGAATGCCACTTTACCCAACAAAGATTAACCTGATCATGTAAAATATAATACATAAATAGAATTAACCAAAGATTTTGCACACGTCAGGAAACCAAGAATGTCGAATATTACAATACATAGTGATCCTGGAATCATTAGAATATACCCTTAATCTTAATCTTTGTTGGGTAGAGTGGATGCACTGAAGTTCATAGTGCAGCTTGTACAATTCTGTAGTATATATTTTAGTGTGGGCTTGATGTTGGATGACTTGGATCTACAGGCTTTGGCCAAATGCCCCACCTTTCCACATTTGAAACATTTTCTTTCTACAAAACAAGGAGATTTAGTGACATCAAATATAGTGGATAATGGTAAATATTTTCCTTAACAAATTAAGTATTGGTAAATTAATTAACTAACAGGACAACATAGAGTAAATGGATGCTATCTGTGAAGATCTTCATTGGAATGTTCATGACTTACTGTTTCCATCTCGATTATAAGCTGCAACAAATAAACAAAGCAGAACTATACAGTTACTAAATTATAAGTGTGTTATTTTAAATTTAGGTGAATGAAGATAAATAAACTGGAAAGAAGAACATACATTTGCGACACTCTCTCGCTTTGTGGCCTTTAAGGCCACAATTATAACAACTTCCTAAACGAGAAGGGTATTAATATTATGAAATATTAAAGTTATGTTTGGTGCTTTAGGAATCCACAAATGAAAACAACCTGATCATATAGCAAAATGTTAATACCTTTAAAATCATTTCTTATCTTCTTGTCTTATATAAAGGAGAAAAGATAGCTGTTCTATATGTCAAGTCATTTTTTATAGCAATGTATTAAACGAAAAGAAAAGGCATACCTTCAGTGCATTGAAATGCTTTGTGACCTTTTAGGCCGCAATGATGACATTTCCCTAAATGAATAAAAGTTGTTTAAAACATTTAGTTGGTATATGTATAGCTGGCCATGTTTGCCAGTTTAATCAAGTCATCTTCAGTATAGTATATAAAAAGCAATGACTATGTTAAAATAAAAAAAAAAATTAAGTACCTTCAAACAATGGCACATTCTTGTCTAGAAAATAGAAAGATTTATTTAAATTCTTATCACACAATTAAAATAGAAAGATTTATTTAAATTCTTATCAAGACAATTGTTTAGCTGTGCATTATAATTTTTTCTGTTGTACCATTTTTCTTATCCATGTCATCTGTCTCCAGATCCATTCCTCCTATATTTAAAAAACTGTCTGTATAAATTTTTGCTGTATGATTTATGCTCACCGGACCGTTTATATATTCCTATATTAAAATTGTCAAGGAAACCCACCTTCCGATATCGCAGCTTCATTCTCTTCTGCTGCAGCGAAAACGCAAAATAAAATAAATTGAAAAAAATTAACATTAAGCAAATTTTGCTAGAATTCGGTGAAAATATTTTGTACTAAATTCAAAATAATACAACTATCATTGACGCACCAGTATCACGACCACTTCCTTGCAGCTCCTCGCTGTCGGTAGCCATCCCGCTTTCTGTCGGAAAACATAGAGTATTTATATTGTAATTTAGTAGTAATTGGCGAAAATCATTAAAATAATGCCTTTCTAAAAACCTTTTAGTTTTTTTTCTGCTTTATAATCGTGCTTTTCAGATATACGAAAGCTATAAAAGATATGTAAATCAAAAAGCGCGCGAAATAGATTTGATATTTGATTGGTGGAGAGAATGGGCGCAATATGGATACAACATGAAGTATTCAACACTTTAAAGGATTTAAATTCTAATTTGACCATTTTAGCCAATCTGGTTTCTGAGGTAATCTGGTTTGTGAGGTAATCGCATTTTGCTGCGCGATTAGACTTGTTTGTGTATCATTAGAATCACCAATATTTGCAACCTCGCAATATTTGTGGGTGTGATTGCGGAATTTAGTGGGCGTGTAACGAACAAAATGTAATTAACAATACATCATGTAATTTGCAGACAACTTGGATACTCCCTTAAATGCGTAGTATTTCTCAACTGTTCATACATACATGAAAGGTCCTTTTCGATCTTTTTGTTTTGAACGTGAGCCAAATCTCTGAAAAACAACTTTAAAAAGTACAAAGTAATAAAAGGTAATATATTATAGACTTATAGTTTAAGGGTACATAAAATTATTTAAAACTAATATAAATAATTCACAGTCATTTAAATTAGTTTGGCTAAATGCTATTAGTTATCATACATTTACACAATTTGCTATATGTATTATGACCGCTGAAGATTCGCGGTCACTGTTAGACAGTGCTTTGTAAACACTGTAAACAACTTTCTTTTTGTTTACATTGTTCTTGACTTCTCGGACATGTTGTACAACGAAAGCTAGATAGTGCTGCACGCTTCAATCCCTGTGAAATTATTAAGGACTCTCTTTAATAATTGTCAGCCTGATGTTTTTGAATAAAGCCATTCTTGTATCACAATGGCAAACATGATATATACTTAATATACTAAAGTTTGACATCTATAAGACTATAAATTAACCTAATAATTGTTATTTTTCCTCATAACTATACCAAAACATATGTTATTTCACTGGCGCCTTTGATGAATTTCTAACTGTTTGACCCCCAATATTGAGAATATATTAATAAATCCTCATAGTCTATTCTTTCTTAACAATCCTTTCTAACTTCCTGATTGCTTCTTTTTCCTCTGTGTTGCATTCATTGACCATTGCATGTACTTGACCAGAATGGTGTTGAGGACATGTGTTGCATCTTTTAGTTGACATGATAGCATAAGTTTGATGAATTTCTAACTGCTTGACCCCCAATATTGAGAATATATTAATAAATCCTCATAGTCTATTCTTTCTTAACAATCCTTTCTAACTTCCTGATTGCTTCTTTTTCCTCTGTGTTGCATTCATTGACCATTGCATGTACTTGACCGGAATGGTGTTGAGTACATGTATTGCATCTTTTAGTTGACATGATAGCATAAGTTTCATGTACTTGACCGGAATGGTGTTGAGTACATGTATTGCATCTTTTAGTTGACATGATAGCATAAGTTTGATGTCTAAGTTTCTATTGTTCAGCCAGGATGATGATGATAATATTTTTATCAACTTTTTTTAATCCTGAATATTTTTATCAACTTTTTAATTTCCCTCAGTATTTAAATCTCCTTTCATCATCATGTCTTGTCGTTGGGAATTTACCATAGTATATTGCATAGTCAACATCTAAATGTATAACTGGTACTTCTTGATTTCCAATAGAATCTTGAGCATCTTTCACAGTTGTCAATTCAAAAATGGGCCACGAAACACATTATGCATGGCTAGTTTATGATAAAGAGGACAGCTCATAAAGGCTTATGAAAATTGTAGCTACTATTATTGCATGCAGATCTTGTATACGAAATATTACTACTTGCATATTGTTAAAATACAACATCTACTACTAATGTTAATTATTAATTACATTATTTAATTTTACATTCTATATTACAAATTGGTTAAACTATTTTTTTGGGTACATCAAATGGCATCTCTGTTTCTAATCTTCATCTAAAAAACAGAAAATATAATTGCAGTAAACTCATGTAAAGTTTATGCAGGCAAGTATCAGAAATATAGAAAAAACAATATGTATATACTTGCCTCTGTAGTAATTTTTCAGTCCTTAATTATGATTACGATGTGTTAATCTTCCATACACCTGTGTAGGTGTATACACATTACACTTATCAAACACCATATATAGTAGATTCACAAACTTTTTGTCAAACCTCGAACACATCTACAATGTGCAGGTATCCTTGACAATTTGCATTATCAGCAATGCACACTTCCTCGCAACACAACTTTAATTGTGCCAGGACGCCCACCAATCAAAATACAATGCTCATGTCTGGTTTTGAAAATGATAAAATACTTTTGTTTTGACAAGTGAGTAATTTTATGACCCCTTTTGCAGAAAAAATTAAATTATATTGATTTGTTTGAAAATGTTTGAAAAATTCAAATGATCTATCAATTTAACAAATGAATAATTCTTTATAAAGAGTAGGAATGAATTCCATTTATGAACATTGTATTACTAGGTATACAGGCAGTCACCTCGGAAGCACCACAAGAGTGCCCAGGTCGAGTGAACTCTACTGGTGTTTGAATAGCACAAGCTTTGAGAACTGTTTACGTACTACCTTCTCGTGCATTCTTGCATTCCTCAACTTGCATAAATGATGCATACGGATCGTCACGTAACTCTGACAGCAGCATTTGATCAAAGCAAGAACGTGGTTATCGTCTGCACTCGAATCAAACATGTGTTCATCTAAGGTGCTGAAGACCCCACCTCTAACACAGATTTCTAACACAGTCTTGGCAATCGCATTCGAAATCCCGGCGCTTTGCGGTAAACCACCTTGATTTGAGTTCAGCATTCTTACGATGCACTTCTCCGTTTCTTCACAGATCTTGATAACGCCATGTGATGGCAATATCAGACCACCATTCGACTTCCACGTTACGAACAAATCTGGAATCTCCTCTTCGGTCGTCGTCAAAACCGTTGTACATTTCGTACATTTGATCTTTTTCATTACCATCTTCACCACATACCCAGCGATGTATGATATTGCAGCCTCTTTGTATTCCGACAGTTCTATGACATTCGACACGTCACAATAATCATGATCGACGGCTGCTGGCTGTCTCACCTCTATGTCGTATCTTCTGGCAATGGTCACATCTGAAATCCCAGTGGATGACTCGTCAATTTCACACCGGTCTTGAAGAGCATTCAATATTTCCGTGTCATTTTGTGCGATGCAGTTTCCACGTCCTCCTTCAATATTGTGTCTCATCAGCAGTTGTTTGTACGCGGCTACAAACTGGCGTGTGGTTGGATTATTATTCCACCCTCCGCATGCTCGCACAGCACCGAAGAACAACTCCAAGTGATCTTGACTCATCTTGTACGTCAAGAGATAATCCAGGACTGGTTTCTCACTCATAACCAGATCGTCAGTCAATCCCAAAACTGATTTGATGCAAATAAGGAAACCAAGAAATCCTGTTTTCCTTCTTGTCTTGAAAACTGATACGCCTTCTGGATCCTTCAGATTGCGAATGTACTCGCTCGCCTGGTCCAGAAACTTCTTCGTGTACTGGTAATTCGATCTCCTGATTGGCGCTTTGTAATGCTTCGCCAGCGGGTTTCTGGAATTCAGAACATCAAACAGGCGATCAAAAATACGAATAAACTTCACTGTTGGACCACATCCCTGAAATTGTGGTAATTTCAGCTTACCTTCACAGTATTCTAACGCATCAGCAACACTCGAACTGAGCGCCTGCGCCGCAAGATTTACCTTCATCTTCTGGGGCTTCCACTTGATATGCGCTGTTCGAAGCTTATTAGCTAGATGTAAACCTTCCGATTCCTGCAACTGATGCAATTTCTCGATAAATTGCCACTGAATGGTGTTGTCATCTTCATCTTTCAGAACTTTCCAGTCCGACATGACGTTCCGTACTAACTTTATCATGTGACAAGCATCTAAAAACACGTAGATCTTGGCTTCGGGGTCACACGGATGCTTGAAATACACTTGCAGGTCATCAGTTGACAGCTTGGCTCCGAGCTCCTTCAGCATTGCCTGGTGGGTAGAAGGACCATCGCATGTGAATGAAATCACCTTCACTCCAACCTCGTGCAATTTCTCAATGCATTCTTTCGTCAGGTTTGCCTTCTGTTCACCAGTCAGTCCATTCACCAGAAAATATCCACAGGGTATTTTCCATCTCGAATTTGCGCAAACGGCCATGTACACCAGCGCATCGGTTGCTTCAGGCAGCGAGTCATTTTCAATGCCCGTTCCGAGGTCGACATAGCCACGCATTCTCTTACCATCCCACTCGACATGTTTACGTATGGACATCTCGTCCAAGTTCAGAGCGCAAACAACTTCTTTGCCACCATCTCTTTTTGCAGCTAAAACTTTCGCTTTTAAAGCTGTCAACGCGTCCTTCGTGAAACCAGGTTC